GTCCAAGAGTTTGAGGTTGCTGTGAGCTGTGATGCCATGACACTCTACCGAGGGTGACATAGTGAGACTCTGTCTCAAAAAAAAAAAAAAAAAAAAGATACTGGATACTAGGGGAAAGTGGCAACAATGGAGCATGTTCTTAGGGGCAGGGACAGCTGGGACTGTTGGAGGGCACCTCCTCTTCTAAGGCAAGAGAAAAGGAAGAAGACAGGGGTTTGGAGGGCAGTGTGCGGTGAGTGGGAAGACAGGCAGCTGCTGAGGGGGCAGGGAGTGGGGACAGGCTGGAAGGTAAGAGGAGAAGGGAGAAGGCCCTAGGAAGGGAGGTGGGTTAGGGACCTGTGGAAGGTCTCCAGGCAGCTCCAGGCTGTTGAAGTCGGGAGGATGGATTTGAGGGGTAAGACTCTGTTGTCTTGTGGCAGATTCCAGAGCCCTCGGCAGCCCAGGAGGAGGGTAGGACAGTGGCATTTCTTCCTGCCATGTGGTTCGGGAGACAAGAAAGGCAGGCGGGTGAGGCTGGCGGTGAGAGTGGCAGAGTGGGCAGCAGGGTGCCTAACACACAGGGAAGGAGGTGAAGGCAGCAGCATAGCACAAGAATGGAGGTCATGGTCTTGAGGCAGCTGGGCTGACCCTCCCGGCCTGGGCAGGGGGTGTGGGCCAGCAGCTCCCACTTGAGAGGCTGCAGAGGCAGGGGCTGTAGGGGAGGCTGAGGGTGGAAACAGAGGGCAGCAGAGGGCACCCACCTCATACCTCTCTCCTCCCCACAGTGTTCTAATCAGGTTTACTTCAAATCCCTCAGCCCCCATCTGGTGGGGCTTCCTGGTGGCCGTGCTGATGTTCGTGTGCTCCATGATGCAGACGCTGTTCTTACAGCAGTATTACCACCGCATCTTCAGCATGGGGTTGAGATTCCGGACAGTGATCATAGGTATCATCTATAGGAAGGTCAGCTGGAGCAGGGCATGGGGGCAGGCTGGCCCTGGGCAGCTTGTGAGAGGCTCGTGGCCACGTCCTCCTTTCTGCTGTCCACCAACAGGCTCTAGTCATCACCAATTCAGTCAAACGTGAATCTACTGTAGGAGAAATTGTCAACCTCATGTCAGTGGATGCCCAGCGTTTCATGGACCTTGCTCCCTACATCAACCTGGTGTGGTCAGCACCCCTGCAGATCTCACTGGCAATCTACTTCCTCTGGCAGGTAACTCTCAAACACTGACCTCTGCCCCTTCCTTTGACCTTGCTGCAGAAGGGAAAGGGAAGACTGTTCTGGAGCCCAGGTGCATGTCTGTCATCTCAGCCACTTG